TTTCTGGCTTATTTCGCTGAGCATGATCCCTTCCAGCTCCATCCATGTTGCTGCAAATTGTATGTGTTTATCTTTTTTGAATGCTGAGTAATATTCCATGGTATATATGTACCACATCTTCTTGATCCAGTCATCTGTTTTTGGGCATTTGGGTTGTTTCCAAAGCTTAGCTATTGTAAATAGAGCTGCTATAAACATAGGGGTGCAGGTGTTCCTTGGAATTGATGTTTCTGTGTCCTTTGGGTAAATACCTAGGAGTGGAATTGCTGGATCATATGGAAGCACTATGTTTAGTAGGTCCTCCAGAAATCTCCACACAGCTCTCCATAGTGGTTGGACCAGTTTGCACTCCCACCAACAGTGCGGAAGAGTTCCTTTTTCTCCACACCCTCGCCAACATTTGTTGTTGCTAGTTTTTTTAATATGTGCCATTCTCTCTGGTGTAAGATGGTATCTCATGGTAGTTTTGATTTGCATTTCCCTGATTACAAGTGATGTTGAACATTTTTTCATATGCTTGTTGGCCATTTGCATTTCCTCTTCAGAGAAGTTTCTTTTTAGCTCTTCTGCCCATTTTTTGACGGGATGATTTTCTTTGTTGTTGAGTCTCATCAGCTCTTTGCAGATTTTTGTGATCAGTCCTTTATCATTAGTGTTGTGTGCAAAAATGTTCTCCCAGTTGGTGGGGTTTCTCTTTGTTTTTGTTATTGTCTCTTTTGCTGTGCAGAAGCTCTTTAATTTGATGTAGTCCCAGCTGTTTATCTTTGCCTTCACTATCACTGCTTTGGGTGATGTCTGTAAAGATGTCTTTGATGTGCAAATCACGTAGTGTTTCGTCTCTATTTCCTTCTATGTATTTTATGGTTTCAGGTCTTATGTCTAGTTCTTTAATCCATTTTGAGGTGATTTTTGTGTATCGTGTGAGGTAGTAGTCAAGCTTCATTCTTTTGCATGTAGCGACCCAGTTTTCCCAGCACCATTTATTGAACAAACTTTCTTTGCTCCAATGCATAGTCTTTGCTCCTTTGTCAAAGATTAGTTGACCATAAATCTGTGGGTTTATTTCTGGATTTTCTATTCGATTCCATTGGTCTGTATGTCTGTTCTTGTTCCAATACCATGCAGTTTTGATGATTATGGCTTTGTAGTATAGTTTGAAGTCTGGGAGTGTGATGCCTCCATTCCCTTCTTTTTTTTTCAGGAGAGCTTTGGCTATTCGGGGTTTTTTGTGATTCCATATGAATTTCATCAATAATTGTTCTATTTCTTTGAAGAATGACATTGAAATTTTCATTGGAATAGCATTGAATCTGTATATTGCTTTTGGTAGGATGGCCATTTTCATAATGTTTATTCTTCCAATCCATGAGCAGGGGATGTTTTTCCATTTCTTTGCAGCTTTTATTTTTTTAATAGTGTGAATAACTGAGTGTCTTTCCAGTATCTGAGTGTCACCTTTGCCATAAAAAGCTTCTTGTTTTAAGCTTCCCTGAAACATCCTCATCAATCTAATAATATAGCTCTGATGCTACATTAGAACGCATCAGAGCCTATTAGAAAGACAAAACCAGTAAGTTTAACTTTTGTTTAGGGAGGCTCCTCAACTGAATATGAATTTCACCTCCAGCCCAGCCAGAACTTCATGCTTGTTCTGTTTCCTTCATAAGCTATATTCAGTGTCTAAAATGCACATTGGCAGTATTTGTCAAGGTATATAAGGAAAGCAGTGGGTAACCTTCGTGCATTTGTGAGAATTTCCTCCTACTTTTTCTTTTTCCTTCCATATCATAGTTAGTATTAGGGTCCTGTTCCTTTCTTTTCTGCCAAGAAAATAAAACAGTACTGAAAAATCCAAATTTGTCACGGTGGAGTTAAGTTGTGGGAGGACAGCAGTAGGAACATTTATGTTTTATTCCCAGATTAAAGTTGATTGGGATTGTTATGTTTTGTGTAGTTTTTTGGAGGCGTTGCCCTTCTTAGAATATCATGTGATTTAGTGGTGATAATTAGGCAGAAACTTGTCTTCCCTACAGATGCCAAGATTATAGAGGGACTTACTCTCACCAGAGACCAGATGACAGCATCCCTAGATATTTTTAGAATGGGCCTCATCATTTGGTCTCCCCATTTCATTTTCCTTGCATCAACAGCCTCATTTCAGACTGATTTATTGGATTGGGAGGGGATCTTCTCCTTATTAATGAAAGTCACTGGTGGGACCTGACAGCATTTACATGTTTATTGGTAGTTGGCCTGTTGCCTAATAACTGCAAAGTGATGGCTGTAATTCCCTTCAGCTGTATGCTTCCCCTTTTTTCCAGATGTTTTACTTAATCTCTGATGTGTTTTTAAATTTAAAAGGGCATCAGTATGTGTACATAAACCTCAGGGTTAACTTAAGCATCTTTAAACAATGTAAGAATAATGGGTGCTGCGTTGAAATCCTTAAAACTTGTATCCAGCCTAAGCATCATTCAGTTCTCAGCCCTGTAGCTGCTTGCATCATTTATCATGCCCCCTTACTTGTTCAGCTCTTGATGGAGTTAGATAAACACTCGCAAACACTGAGCCGCCAAAGAGTAGTTACAATTCTGAGGCAGATGAGTGGCTGCTTCTTTATGATTATTTTTAATCTAACATTTTCTTAGTGAATGGTGATTCTGGTGTTCCTTTTTATTTCTGTTCAAGATCATCTGGTTTCTTTATGTTCTCACAATGTTTGTCTTTCTCTCCTGTGGAGTGGGAGTTTATTAAGCTTGTCATCTGTGAGGGCTGCCTCCAGACTGGACTGGGCCTCTCTGGGCTCAGCTACTAGGCACAAAGTCCCCTTCCTGAGCAGCCTGGGTGGGGGGCATGGCATGGAGCTGGGTGGCAGAGGCTTTGGGGCATAGCCCCACACATGGCCCCAACCCCATCCTGTAGAGAGGGAAGAGTAACTGTCAGCACACAACCTCTTTAATGATGTAGTTCTCTGAAGACTCTGGGCCTGTTGCTGAGGGAATGGGTATTTGGCCTGGAGGTTGTTACTTGTTGTTGCTGTAGACTGCCCAGTGTGGGCCTCCTGTTGCTGGCTTGAGAGCTGATACCCTGGTCTGCTTAGAATGATGCCATGTTGGGGCTTGTAAGGTGCCCTCTGCCTTCTTCCCTCCTGTGCTAACATAGCCCCTGCATTAAAGCAAGTTGCCTGCTCTGCCTCTGTACTTGGGGAATGAAGTATGTCACCTTCCCAGTATGCACTGGTTTCCATGACTGAATAATTAACACCAAAGGGAACCGGGGGATGGGATCTGAATTAGGTAATACTTCACAATGTCTCCCTTGGCACTTACAGTAAGTCAGGATCGGGACTTAGAGACTGTGGTCCCCTGATGACTAATTGCATAGTGAGGTTAGATTGTGGTTTATTAAGTATTATTGTGAAGGAAAAAAACCAAATCCTGTTCCAAAGGAACCACATCTAAACTGAAGCCCTTTCCATCCACATCTTTGGCCCCAGGTTGTCACCACAATAGCACTGGCCCCAGCAGGCTAAATTCCTCTTAGAGACTGAGATCCGATATCTATTTTAGCATTTTCCCCCTCTGAGATCAACAAGCCATTATTTTATAGTCGAGGATAAAGCAAAGACGACCTCCCCAAAAGCCTGTTAGGGACACCAAATATTGAAATTGGGTTGAAAAAGGCGTCCTCTTTTCTGCTTTTATAGTCTCTGCCTCTAATAAGACAACCTGGGTTCTGTTTGGAGCTCTAGCAAGGGTAGAAAGGACCCTGGCATGTAACATCGTAAATACAAGGCCCTGCTGTCTTTCTGAATGTTGGTAGTGAAAGGTGAGATTGCCAGCTGGCCCAGCCACAGCACACTTGTGAAAACTCCAGGTGACTATATGATAATATCTCCTCTAAAAGGGGGGAGAAGCATTTGTATGTATGTGGGTGAGCTTATTGATGCATTTTTCATTACTTGTTCATCTTATCTAGTGAGTTCATGTTGCTTCACTACCACTTTTCTACCTGTTTCTTGGCTTAGAGCCACCTTTTTTTCTACCAGGACAGCCAACATTGTCTCCATAAACAAAAGATCTTATGTCTTGAGACCTGTCATGCCAGCTCCTTCAGCTACTTCTCTATGAGGGAAATATGTTTTCTTTTCCTCTAAATTTGCTGGACTCAGTGGTAGCCTGCAGTCTAGGAAGACTTGGATACGTACATTCAGGTCTTTTTTGTGTTTTGCCACTGAAGGCTGTTGGAGGCAAAAGAGTAGTAATAATGATGATCATGATCATGTTAGTGAAATATTTTCTGAGGGGGATTTTGGTGTTTATATATTTTTTTTTCTCTGCAGGTTTTTGGTATAAAAAACTAATTCCTAAGGTGGCCCACGTAGCGTTTACTTACATCTTTTATGGTGGAGGAAGGCATGATTACTCCCATCCAGCAGTGCGGACTCATTTAGCCTTTGTGGAAAGGAATCATTTCATTTCCCCGGGTATTGGGGTATCATTGGAAAGGCTGGTAACCCAGGTCAATTAGTTCGTGATGCTGGTGGGGGAGAACCAGGAAAGTCCAGCTCTGAAGCTTAGGGTGACTAACTCACGGTTTTAGCATGAAAGTTCTGTGTTCCAGGAAACCCCACAATCCAAATATCTATCAATAGAACAAAGCCCCATTTCACCTTGCACATCCCTAACTTGAAAAGAACCCATTGACATACCCCTAATTTGCTCTTCTTTGTTAACCTCCCAACGTGAATGACCCTGTTTCCTTTAGGCTTTTTACCTTTAGAGCATCTTGTAATCAAGCACAGAAATATGGTACACTGTCTCCAAGCTTTGTCCTTAGAACTCAGACATTTTAAACCAGCGTGGCAAAACAGATTTACTGTGAGTTTTCCTTGGCTGGGAGGCTGGGTGAAGAAATGAGAGACAGATGAAGCGTGAGGTGCCCACTATTGCTGTTCCAATGTCCTTAATCATCTCTGGTTTTCTTTTTTCCTCCTCTAGACCCTCAAACTGACACAAGACCTACCAAGAAAACCCTTTGCCAAATCTGCTCTCAGCAAGTGGACAGTGATACCGTTTACAGCTTAACACCTTTGTGAATCCCGCGCCATTTTCCTAACCCAGCAGAGACTGTTAATGGCCCCTTACCCTGGGTGAAGCACTTACCCTGGAACAGAACTCTATATATAAAGTATGCAAATCTTCCTTGTACAGGGTGATGAGCCACCTGCCAGCGAAGGACAGCACCCTGTCAGCACTACCCATCCTTGTTCAGAGCACACCGTGAGCCCCCCTGGTGATTCCGTGGTGTTTGAACATCATGATGGTTTATGGGATATTTTAAGTGTTGTTTTTGTGTTTTCCTTTGAACTTTCTGAGTTTTTCACATGCATTAACTTGCAGTATTTTCCTGTTAACATGTTAAACCATTCTTCCCCCTGGCAGATTTTAAAAACAGAAGGAAAACGTTGTACCAGTTACCATTCTGGCTTTGGGCGGCACAAGCATTTGAGCTTGTGGAACTCCACAAACTAACAAATTACATAAACTGGAGGGGGATTTTCTTTCATCTTTTGTTTAGTAGAAAACTATCCTTTTCTAAAAATTGAACAATGGCACAACTGTTAGCTGTGCGCGCACCAGTCCAGGGCTGACCCTGCAAAGGCAGCGTGAGTGGGGCTCAGCGTCCCGCCAGTACGCTTCAGTTCCGAGTCAGGGGGGTCTGTAGATGAGACCCCCGGCGCCTGGTTACACTGCCAGGCGCTCAGGGCCTGAGTCTTCTGTCAGCATCCTCAGTATGTTGGTTAGAAATTAGGATCTTTTTAGGAAAGACATCAGCTCAGCTGTCTACTTATTGCCAAGTGCCACTTGAGGATTTAGTTTTTAAGGAGAAAAGGAAAAAAAAAGTAGTTTTGCTTTGCAGAAGAAACAAACTTACAGGTGAGCAGTAAGCCTGCAGGGAGAAATGTGTGGAGAGTACAAGCCCGAGTCAGTGCAGTGGGAGTTCTCTAACTTCATGTTTCCCCAGATACACACCCTTGATTACTTTCCGCCTTGCTGTGTATAATCTGACCTACTAGATGTGTATGAGTGAAAGGCAATAGCATACAAACTGATTTTTTTATATAGGCTTAGATAATTGTGCAAGTGACATGATGGAAGTACAAGATAGGGCAGTTGTGACTCCCCTCCCTACTTTTCTGCTTCTATGGATTTGATTTTTTTTCCCCAAAAGTTATGGTGCTGTATAGGTGCTTTTTGTTTAACCCAGAACGTGAGATTAGTTACCCGCTTTGGTAGACAGAATAGTTGGGAACACCTTTGGTACCTATGAAACTGGTATGACGGCGCTCTGATTAGCACAGCATATGCATACTTCTCCAAAGTGATAGATGAAGATTCTTTTCTTTGCATAAAAAGCATTAGGCAAACAAATGTATAAATATATTTTATCATGTACAGTACAAAAATGGAACAGTCTGCATGGGCGTTAGGAATACAAGCTAGTATTCCAGCACAGACCTCCCTGCATGAGTTCTTGCTGATGCTTGCACCGTGCAGTGGGCACTGACTCCCTTCCACCAACACGGACGTGCCACCCAACCCCCCTGCACCCACCACCGGCCGCCAGGCGCCCCCTTGTGCACCTCTGCTTTATAATTCCTCTGGGGGTGATAATGGTGGTGATAATAGCTCCTAACATAATGAAAGTTCCATTCGGTATTGTCACACGTCTCTCCTGCCTCGCTTGGGTTCTTATGTTTGAGCGATGGCCCTGTTGATTTCACCCTGCCTTTTACTGAATCTGTAAATTGTTGTGCAATTGTGGTTATAGTAGACCTGTAGCATATCACCTTTTCTAAATGGCTACAAGTTTATAATCTTCATTTTAAAAGTATGTATAATTTTTAAAAATATGTATGCTATCCACATGGTCTGCTTGTCAGTGAGATAGACTTTTGCTTACTATATTCCTTTATAATACTGCTAGCCACTTCCTTGATTCTTTGGTAGTCTGCTGTACACAAGAACTGTCCAACATCAGTGGAAGCATGCCGCCTCTCTGGGTGCCTGAGTGATGCTGCCCTGGGTGGGGCGGCAGTGGCAGCAGCTGGAGTGGCTGCGGGTGGTGGCGGGTGGAGGGTTATCTAGTATGGGAGGATCGGAGCACTTCCAACGCCGGGCCCTGAGAATTTCTCTCCTGAGCACGTAGAAACAAGCAAACTAACAAAATAGCTATTTGCCTAGCAGTTTTTTAGACCTTGGGAGTAACTTTGGGATTAAGAAAGGTAACCCTCAAATGTGTTTTAACTTTAAAACACTGAATACTTTTCAGACATCTGGTATCTCATTTACCCCCACCCTCCTGATGTTTGCTGGATTTCAGGCAGAATGTCTTACAAAATGTCCTAGAATCAGATTATAATTTTGCACAGCTGAGGGAGGGACACAGGTTTGAGAGCAGGGCAGGCACCTTGCAGATCAGGAAAATGGTGGTGGAAGGGGGGGTACTTTGAAGTATTTGTTTTAATAACTCAAATATCATCTACATGTAGAATGTTGTGGAGAGCTGAGATCAGGGTAAAGTCCCAGGAGGGGGTGAGGCATGAACAGATCCTGGCAGTCCTGCTGTCACCCCGGCCACCCTCTGCTGGTCATCCACCTAGAAAGGCCAGGCTCTCTTAAACTAGAAACTTCTAGGGAGGTCATGTTGGGCTGAGGTGCAATCTAAGCCTTCTGGCTCTCAGATGGAGACCCTGCTTTTTAGGAACAACCAGCTGTTGATCACCACATGGAGTTCTCAGCGTCCTGGGTTTCTCATATTAGGTCTTCTGATCTGGACTGTCTCCATAAAATACTTCATAACTCTGGAGGCCTGGCAGCTGTGAGGTTCGCATCCTCACGAGAACTGTTGAGGCTACCCTCAGCCTCTAAATAAGCTGCATTAGGGAGCCTTCTACTTTTTGATGGGAATCTAGAATGAAGGGTAACTAATGCTGAAAACATGGCATGCACTCTGGGACTGTGCTGTTCTCTTTGGGGCTCCAGAACCAGATACCTTTTTAACCAAAGTTAGAAAAGAGCTTTATCACAAATCTTCATTGTCCTGGTGTGAGGACAGACTGCCAGGTTCGACGTACCCCATTAACTGTGAATGAATCTGAGGTCTGTTTCCTTTGTTGCATCCTCTGCAATATAATAATGACTGAAACACATTTTTTAAAATTTCAGAAGTTATTTCTTCTTTTATTAGAAGGATCGTGCACACATGTTGTTCAGTGTGGACTTTGTGTCTGGTGTTGAGTTTCTGCATCACGAGTGTGTCACTTCCCACCTGGCTTGCTGCTCAGGACAGGTATGCCCAGTCTCAGGGTGTCATTTCAGGCTTCCAAACTTGTTAGAGATGGTAGGGACGGACTTCACCTCTACCTAAAGAACTCCGCCTAAAGAATAAGGCCCGTTTGAATCTCATGGAAAAAGACTGTCAAGACAAAAGCAGAAAAGAGCCAGTCCTGTTTCACGCGCTGATGCTATGGGCTGGAAATGTTGCCTTTTCTCTCTGAAAGCAGAAACAAAACCCTGACAGCTCTGAACTGATTTTCTTTTCCTTGCAGTTTTTGAGGAATAACTATGATTCGGCATAATTTTTTTTTTTTTTTAATTAAGAGAAGCGTATTTTTTTGTAGAAGTGCAATCACTGGCAAAGAGGTACGAAAAAGTTGACCTCGCCCAGAGTCTGGGGACGGCAGAGCACACGAGGGAAAGGGAAGTCCCTGTGAAACCACGTCTGAAAATGAGATCTGAAGGCAGATGCCCAAGTAACTGAAAAGTGTGTTATTTTTGATTGAAATCTTTAGTAGGTAACATTTTATGCAGTTTGAATGAATGAAATATTTTCCTCTCATTTGGTTTTATTTGTATGTATTTTTCTTTAATGAGTGATTGGTTACTAGGCCTCTGCCACACTCCAGAAATATTTGTGCGGCTGCTTTAAAGAATTGTGTGAATGGTCACTTATTTCTCTAAAATTATCTCATTGCCTGGCAATCAGTCTTTTCTTGTATACTTGTCCTAGCACATTATGTACACGGGAAATGTAAACAGATGTGAAGGAGGACCAGAACAATTAGTTAATATTAAAAAAATGTATTGTGCGTTTTGGCTTCACATGTTTAACTTTTTTTAAGAAAAAAAGTTGCATGAATGGAAAAAAAAATCTGTATACAGTATCTGTAAAACTGTCTTTATCTGTTTCAATTTCTTGCTCAAACCCCATACAAACTAGAAATTAAATATGGTGCATGGCCATATGCAAACACCTAAGAGTCCAGCAGTTGATGCTTTGGTTTGCACCTCATCCTTTCTTTCAAAGCGAACACTATCATATTGCATTCCTACTGAGGATTTTGTCTAACCATTTGTTGCCATGAATTAACTCTGCCACCTTTCTTAAGAATCAAAACCAGTTTGATTTGGGAATCTTCCCCTTTCCAAATGAAATAGAGATGCAGTACTTACTTTCCTTGGTGTTTGTAGATATTGCCTTGTGTATTCCATTTAAAACCGTAATCTAGTTTGTAAAAGAAATGGTGACGCATGTAAATAAAGCATCAATGACACTCTAGCTTACTCCAAGAAGTCGTTTGTTTTTCTTCCCTTTTCCTTTAACCCCAGAAATGAAATAGCTGAATTTATCTGAAGGTCTTCCTGTGGAATTACTTCACAAAGCTGAGAGATCCTATTGTGAAATCTCCAAACTAAATGAATCTTTTTCTCTGGCCCACCTTTGACTTCTGCAGACAACCAGTTTAATAAAAGTGGATTCATGGTGTTATTCATGATGACTGATAGCCACTTTAGGCATGCACTGAGCTTACCCTGGAGGAGTTTTTAATTAAGGAGGTGGGATTTATATTCTCCCTTCACTGAGTGTCAGAGGTCTTGATCTGTCAAAGTTCTAGCCCCAAAGAGGTACTGCTCACGTGAGTCTAGTTGTCACAGGCTCGCCTGCATATCAGAAGTCAAACACGAGACTTCAGACATCCGGTGGCAATTATTTCCACTGTACGTTTAGGGCCTCAGTCATGTTAGAAGGAGCTCCACCCTATTGTAAAACTATTCCTAGTAGACATTCTAACAGACACACTGTAAAACTTACTCTACTTTTAGAAACACCCTTGGGTTGGGTTCAAAGTCCCAAGCAATGCAGTGGACTCTTATTTCAGATCAAGTAACTGAAGAGGATTTTCAAGTTTACCCTTTGGGACAAATTCTACATTGGGTGGAGAGTCACGCTGTCCTAGTTTGTCCTTGCTATTGTTTTAGTGACGCAGGTAAGCCCCCTTCCCCCCATCTTCAGATAACAAAACTTAGTGGGTGGAGAAGGCTTACCAATTTTAATTTTGTCTTCCAAAAGATTGAAGATGGCTATCTAGTACTAGCTATCACAAGATCATCAGTAGCCAGGTAAAAGGTCAACCAAAAACTAAAGTCAACTTAATGACCAGCAATTATTCACGCTATCTCAGCGGACCAGACCCTATGATGGGCACCAAGAGAACCAGCACCTGGGCCCTGCCTTCCTGTATTCTAGGAAGAGTCTCTCCACCTTGATGAATAAAGAGCTAATTCTGGCTGACTCTCCCTGCTTCAGCTTCTTGTTTAAAAGAATAATTTAGGTTACTCTCAAGCACCTCAAGACTTCGATTTTGCAAATCCTTTAGTAGAGAGGCAAACCTTTTAAGCCAGCAAATGTGACATGTATCAGCCAAGTCATCCACACCACAGCTGGAGGGAACACAAGTGTCAGAGGTGGAGGAAGATAGAATTCCTAGACACCGTGTGCCAGACACCCCTCCCGCCCCAGCGAGGGGTGCGACTTGGGAAGTAGGGAGATGGCTATGGGGGAGGGGGAGAAGTCCCTGGTACCCAGGGTGTCTCTAGGCTCAGCGCAGCAGGAAGGGGCAGGGGAGCGTATTTGAGTGTGGAGATGAAGACAGCACCGCCAGTGCACTGGTGCTGGACTCGGGCCTCCACACCTTTGGAGCTAGAGGAAGCGGGGTCCTTCCCCCTGGATTTTCCTCATTCACAAGTTCAAACAGGGAGACTATCAACAATATTTAAGACCTAAAAGAGAATTAGATTGTATGTTTGTATTCAGCCTACTGTCTATCACAGTAATTTTGCCTTTCTCTCTGAGGACCTCTCTAGAAACATGACAAACATCCTACTCCCACTCAGGAGAGAGGAAACTTGCATGGACACAGAACCTCGTCTGTGACTCCTACAGTCGTCCATCCCATCAGCACCTACTGTGTGCCTGGCACTGTGTTCTAGGCCTAAACGGGCTGAGCTTAAAAATGAAGGCCTGCTGGCAGGAGCTCTTGAGAGAATGAATCCCACGAATGCTGCTAAGGGTATGATGGAGGGTCAGAGGATAACCCAGAAGTGAACAGCTGACAGAAATGGGTCAGACTTTTATAGCTGAAGGGATCAATCTCAGGGACAAAGACAGGGCAAGAAAGGTTGGAACATATTTGGGAAACAATACATAGTGGGCTTGTTTAGGGTTTAAAGAACTCAAAAATGACAGGTGAGTCAGAAAAGTCGGATGCCAGAAAATTCCAGACTAAGGAACTTGGCCCCAGCTAGGGAGATGGGAAGACCCAGGGCAGCTGCCCTGATTAGAGGGGGCCCCTAGGAAGAGTTCTGAGGCACACTGGGGAGGTAGAACCTAGAAGGGGGATGTTGAGGAAATGAGAACGTGATTGTTCTAGAGCTATTGTCACCTGCTACCCACAGGAATGATGGCCCACCGGCATGACCAAGAAGCTGCTCCAGGTCTCAGGCCTCTCAGCCACAGGCCCCGCAAGCTGCCCAGGGATCAATAACTCGACACTCCTGTAACTTTCTAATCCGTCAAAGGTCCTGATCTAGAAGAAATCAAGAAATGTGATTAAGTCTGGGGAGCAGAGATGGGTTTCAGCTTTCAGCTCAGAGCTGTGTTAACTTCCCAGAGTGGGAATGTTTTATAAAGATGAATCCAGCTCCTAAAGAACTGTGAAGAGGCTAGTTTGTGTGTCTTCTGAGGCTGGAGACAGTAAGGAATAAGGTGGGAGAAGGGTCTTGGGAGTACAAGTAGAGATGAGATTGCCATTTATAAGGATCTAACTGACCAAGAGTATCCTTGCAAAGTTGTGTCTTCACAACATTGGATTTCCATAATTTTCTCCTCTTAACATCTTGACCATCAGAGGAAATACCTAATCGAACAAAGGAATATGCGTCTATTAAGACATTATGAAGACAATTCACATACATAACAAAATGCTCACTCTTAGAAATGTAATTGTTGTTCTTATAACCTTACATGTTATATAAGAAAAATAAAAAGCAGAAGAGAAATTATTCATGCCAGTGTAACTGTGGTTGGAGAGAAGTGGTAAAAAGGCCAAATGCAAAAATTGAAATAATTCTTGTCTCCTCGACACTTTCAGCCTCAATACTGGACTCGGGAGATCACTGTTGCCGCCATGAATAAACTTTTCTTCCTCAGTGTCTCCCTCCAAATCCAAAGTCAGAGCCACTGCTCTAGCTCTAGCTGACAGGAGCCATCAAAGACCTTGACAGATCCAGTGAGGGAGGAGAGGCCCATCCACCAAGATGCAGCCATTGGGAAATGCCCCAAGAACGACGAAGGGGGTTCTCATCCCAGGCAAGCGCTGCAGAGGACAAGTGTCCATCGTATTATTACAATTCGGTTATAAAATTTTTTCATCAAGATTATCTCATTTTGTTTCACTGTATTTTTAAATATTTTGCAAGAGGAAACCTTCACATAATTCAAAAGCCACAAAGCATATAGGTACACATATCCCGGTCCCCCATCCACTTTGCTCCTCCTACCCCAAAGTTTCTTGTGTATCCTTCCAGAATTTTGTCTGCGTCTAGAAGCAATAAAAACACAGATTCTTACTCTCCCTTTATTACACAAAATGCATATCACGCACACTATCAGATATCTTGCTTTGTTAATGATTTGCTCACACATAGAGGAAATATTTTGATCGTTGCAGAGTACCCCATTGTGTCAATATATGGGACATTGGATTGTTTCTCTATGGTTGTTATTGCAGCAACACTGCAGTGAATGAGTGTATACATACATTATTTCACACACAGGCAAGAATCTTAGTAAGGCTGATTCCCAAATGTGGAATTGTTGGGTCAAAGTGTATATATTTTTGTAATTTTGATAGATTGCCCAAATTGTCCTCCAAGGTACCCATTCACAGCGCTAATATGTCAGAACTCCTGTCTTTCCACAGCCTTGTGTTTTCAATGTTCTAAAAATCAAATTGCCAGTCTGTTTTTCCCTCCCCCCCACCACCCCAAGCTAAGTCTGTACCTAAGGTACCAAGGGCCTGGTAAGAGCAGGGTGGGGGATGGGAGAGCTTTAGGAGCTAGACTCCAGGTGGCCTGGGCAATGCTAGGGAGGGAGAAGGAGCTCTGGGCACTTGCCATGGAACACCCATCCTTGTGCCAGCACACAGGAGTCAGCTGCCAACCTGTCCATCCAGTCTGGCCACAGGCTCCTCCCCTCACGCCACCAGTTTGAACCACCCAGGCCCAGCCTCAGGGTCAGCAGCCTGACCTCACAGCTGTGTTCCCTCACCTCCCAGAATTCCAGAGGGGAGCTGTCACCCTCCTGAGGAAACAAGTCTGGTCTCTTTGGCACCAAACCACACACCTAGACCTATTCATAGCAATGTTGCACAACCTGCTGGAGGACAGCCTGGCTGGGCTGGGGAGAGCACAGTGCCATTCCAGAGCCGGGCCCTGACTCCTTGGTGCCCCTGGGCTTGCCTTCCAGCTTCCAAAGAAGGGGAGGGGAACCTCAAGGGTCTGGCTCCTCCTCCCAAGTCTGGGGAACGTGGGTAGGGAAGCGCTCTAAAGCCATCCTCCTCCAACCACCATCCTGGTTAGCAGCTGGGGTGAGGGGGGCCTCTCCACAGTTAAAGCAGAAACCAGGAGGCAGTTTTTTACACAAGAGGAAGCTGAGTCATGTATGAATAAGCCCTTATGTCTCTGTAGGGAGCCCGTGTCAGGGAGGGGAACTCCATTTTGGACTGGGACAGACCTTGATTTGAACCCAGCCCAGGGAGCACCAGATGAATAATGGAAGTCCAGTCGGTTAACTTCTCTGGGCCTCCATTTTCTTTCTTTTTTAAAAGATTCAATTCTTTATTTATGCATAGAAGAACCGGGGTGTAGGCCAGGGGTGCAGGGGGCGAGAGGATTCACCAGAGACAGAGTGGGGAACAGAACAGGTGGATCTACTACAAATACACTGCTAAAGGGTTAGGTTTTAATCATGTGAAACATAAAATTTGACATTTATGAGCCCACCGGTAGAATGAGAATGTGTAGTAATTAAGCATAAAGGTAAGCAATGTGTCAGGTTTTCCTGCTTTCTGTTTCTTCCACCCTAGTGGTACATATTTGTGCTGGGTCCTAGAGAATCTTTGTCCCTGCACAAAGAACTCAAATGTCATGGCCAGAGAAGGTTGGAGAACTTGTTTCTATCCTGCTCTGCCACTAAATTCTCACTATACGGCCTTCAATGAGTCACTTCCCTCTCCCTGGGCATCAGTTTCCCCATCTGTGAAGTCCACTTCATGAAACGCTCCATCTTCATGAGGTTGACATGAGGAGCCCAGAACAAGAGCATACACTGTCAGAACCCGGACGCCATTGGCAGATGTTAGTACCGCCATGTCCCAAGGGAGACTGAGACAGAGTCCAAAGTGCACTTCAAGGTTCAATGGTTCTTGTACTCTACCCCTCTGGCCCAGGGCCCCAAAGCCACACACTTAAGAAATGAAGAAAGGGAAAAGGATGAAAGAGAGGAAAAGGACTGGAGGTGAAGAAGCTGGAGCAGGGGGGTGGGGTTGTTTAGGAACAGGGGCTTGTTCTGCGGGGGGTCTGCTTGAGGAGGTTGTGCATCTCACACAGATGTTTGCCTGTAGCCGGCTGGTGTGACAGTGAGGCTCTCCAGTTTCTGTCCTAAATAAATGAAATGATACCGGGCCCCAGTAGCCTAGCTGGAAGGTCACTTTGACACAGACAGGAGCCCAGGGTGATTTGCTGCTAGTTTGAGGGGTTCAGGGAATAGCAGGAGGCTGGAACCTACTCACGTAATGGAGAAACAGCCTCTGACTGGCCTGGATGGCATTTTCTCAACAGACCCCATTCAGACCAAGACACTGTTGTAGTCCTTCTGGGTGTTTGGAGAAAGAACTGAATTAAAGACATCTTATGAAATGGTTTGAAGCCTCTACTGTGTTTTTTACCTGTCTGGATGTAAACATTCAGACTGCTTTCCTCAGGCTTGACTCTGCCCAGGTTAACTCCACTTTTGGGGGACTAAAAAATTTCTCCTCTGAGTGGGAGAGCCTGACTTTGTACATTTAGGGTTTTTGTTTTTTTTTTTGATAGAAGTCACCTGTTAAGTACAGACCTCAAAGCAAAATTAAATTTTATAATGGGAAGATTTGGGGATGGTAGAAAATGCATAGCTAACAAATACCTTTGAAAACAGTGAAATTTGGGCCTCCCCGGTGGCGCAGCGGTTGAGCGCTGGGTTGCGAAGCTGCACGCGGCCTCTGCGGCGCCGGTTCGATCCCCGGCTGCTCCCCGGCCACCAGAGGAGGGTCCCACATGGCGTGCAGACCTCTCCTGCCGCCCGCTGCTCCCCTCAGCAGTGTACTTTGGTCCTTCTGCCTGCTCTGCTCCCCACTCTGGCTCTGGTGAATTCTCTCACCCTCCCGCGCTTCTGACTGTACCCAGTGCATGTATGAACAGAACAAACAAACAAACCAGCAAACAAATAAATAAAGCATGCCTCTATTAAAAAAAAATAAATAAAAAAAAAAGAAAAAAAAAAAGAAAACAGTGAAATTTTTATATGTTAATATGTATATGATAAAAATTAAAAAGTTACTTTTATAATGGTAAAATTTTTATATGCTAGTATATGTATAATAATAAAAAGATGAGAAAACAATCCTTTGTGAGAAGATGTTTGTTGACTGCTGCTTGCGAGGTCCCTGGGGCATGGACTTTGGAGTCAGACACAATTATGGAGACTTTACCTCTGCAAGCTTAGGGGCGGGGCCTATTTCACAGATATAATAATATCTCCCTTTAGGATTCTTATGAGGGTTAGAGTTAATGCATACGGAGGCCTACCCATTTATTCACCCTGTAATTCAACATACTTATTGAGCACCTACTCTGTGCGGGCACTGTGCTAGTGTTAGCCGTTAGGAGCTTAGACTTTAGGGGTTAGAAAGGCAACAGATGGTTATGTGTGTGGTTTTGCCTATGTAGCCTCAGGTAAGTTCCCCCTGTGCCTCCATTTTCTCATCAGCAAAACAGAGATGATAATAATAACCCCATTGTGCCAATGTAGGGATTACATGAAATGATGTCTGGAGAATGTTGAGAAGAGTAAGTCTTCATTTAACGTCATTGATTGGTTCTTGGAAACTGCAACGTGAAGCAAAACAACACATGATGAAACCAGGTCCTCGGTAGTGTCATTTCTCCCAGGGTGGCCAGGGGTTTCTTCTTTCTCATCCATGTTGTAATGAAACATTGTTCAATGAAACGATGTTGTTTGAGGACTTGCTGTATCTGGCACATAGTACATGCTTGATAAACCTACTGTGTAGCACATTGGAGTTGCTTAGTAAATCATAGATTTTATAACTAGTTTCTTAAAATGCAGGCACTATATCCTTTAAAGACAAAGGAAAGCAGTGTTTTCAAAATGTCTGAATCGGGTAGCTCAAAATTCAATTTCCTTGGGTCCTTTCAGAATCCAGTGGGGCCTAAACTCTGTCTTTCAAACACCGCTTTCCTTGATTTTAAGGTAGACTAAAGTTTGAAAATCCATGGAGGTAAAATATAAAAATACTCATCCATTTATGGCATCCTTTGTGGCAGGCAGAATAATAGCCCCCAAAGATGTCTATGTTTCGGGCCTCCCTGGTGGCTCAAGGGGTTAAGCACTGCACTATGAAGCTGTCCGCAGCCTCTGCAGCACGAGTTCGATCCCCAGCCAGCCAGGGAGCAACACACATGGCACAGCAGACCTCTCC